TTGCAAGGCAAATCCGTGACGTGGGAGAGGCGACGGGCACGCGCTTCCGCGTGCGCGCCGTCTCCGAATGTGGAGCGCTGCGCTTCAGGCGCTCTCACGGACGGACAAACGCACGTGTGCGCGCCCGGCGAAAGTAGAAGAGAACTACTGGAAACCAGTTGTAATTTGACGGGTTATTTGTGGTTCGGATAAAGCTAGAATCCGGCAAATTCGTGAAATAGCTTACTTGTTCACAGCATCCAAAATTGGGTGAAAGTAAAGGAGAACTACAGAAAACTAGTTGGAATTCGACGGTTTATTTGTGGTTCGGAAAAATCCCGAATGTGACGAATTCGTGAAATAGCCAGTTAATGTTTACAGAAATCAAAATTGGATGAAAGTAAAGGAGAACTACTGGAAATCATTAGGTTTTGACGGTTTATTTGTGATTCGGATAACGCCCGAATCTGGTTAATTCACGAATTAGCCAGTAAATATTAACTTGGGTCGACAATTTACGAAGTCACAGCAGCATTGAAATAAGTATGTTCACGTTGTCCCTAACTGGAGGGATAAAATCCAAAGTAGGACCACCCTCCAAGTTATATGTTGGCATTATCCAATATTGGAGGATACGTGCGAAATAGGAACAGTTTCGATGTTCGGACTTAACCAGGATGAAGATGACATCAGCCAACACGAGGTGGCTAGGGAAGATTTCTCACAATGATGAGAAATAGCATATATTACATGAAAAGCTAGAGTCAGCCTTCTGGTGCAAAGGCAGATGAGAGAGACGGTGGGTAGTTTCGAGTTTCACTGAGTCAGTCGTAATCTTCTATTTACAAGATATTTCTAGATTTCTGCATTGACGCTTCGCTTCGTATGTCTAAATTGGAGCCACCAGTATCTGGCACTTCACCTTCGTGATGTATATGCAACAACCTTGGTTCTGTGTAAGTCACAGCATTTTATGCTAAATGACTTCTTGCGAAAACACAAGACGCCTCACACCCAGACTTCACTTTAGCCAGTGCTCTGTGACTAATTCTCAATTTACACAGATTATGTCCGAATGACACGGTCGTCGCCATTCACAATCCTTTATCCATAACGTCTGGCTAATGTGCGAATTAACTGGCTAATTTTCTATTATTTCAAACTTTTATATCGGCAGGAAACGACGACTGATTTCGATAGAACGATTGAAACTCTCACAATAAGACAAGGTATTATTCAAAGAACGGCAGATCAGATATTAATTCTTAGTTTTTACTATAAAATTGGTTAACAGAGCATGCGATGGCATCTCAAGTGCTTACTTCCTATCATTTATAGAAAAACATCAGGAAATTTGGTAGTGAAGAAAGCTTAAATGACTTACTAAACGAAAACCTTGAGTGTTTTTGATGCTGACGCGCGAGGCATGCTTTCAAGCGGTCGCGCCACAAGCCATTAAAGCCGCCCTGCCCTTATAAACTGTTCGATTTGCGAAGTCAGAAGTTCAGAAAACCCGTGCTACGGCATACAGACGTAATATTATGAAGGTTCAGTATACGAAGGACCCTGCGCACAGTTAAATTGATAGAATGTAGTACAACTACTACTGAAATTTTATAAATAGGTCTGTGTGGTAATATTAGTAAATACTGTGTGTGCTTTAGATTTTTTTATAGACTTATAATTACATTCATATTAATATAATTGCTCTTTATGTTCTGTCGTAATACTCTCTGAGTTAATTACCACGAAAATTCACGATCTACACACCAAAATACGACATTGCGAAACAAGACTATTCTTGTATCTCCTTCCCACCTCCTCGCATACCTTTTAATGTATGGTTATCATCTCATTTTGCGACCGATCACTCCTTTAAATGACATCCCGTCCTCGAGCCTAAATGCTGCCTTCTCCGCCTACCTCGATGATCTACTTCCCAAAGTCTAACTTTGGGAAACAGCACTTATCGTTTGTCCTCGTTTTCTCTCTCCACAACTTGACATCACTTTCTAATTTGAATCTTCCTCCCATTGTGCAAACTTGCGAACGGTCACCGCAATCTACTCATTCTGTCTTTGCTTCGAACTGGCTAGAACTTTTAATGCTTTGGAAATAGGACCCCTTTTATTCTCGAAAATTCTGAAAATGGTCAAAGTTAAGCCTAGACCGGCTTTGACTTTGGCTCAACACTTCAACCGATGCCTTTGCAGTGCCTTCGACCAATCTCTAGGGTTCAAGTCCCGTCAGAGACAGGATTTTTGCCACCAGTTCAGCAGTTTTCTGGTGGAAAATTCCAATGACTGACTGCTCTGATCAGTAGTTTTCCGTGTTTTTACTGATCAACACCACGCAATTGCCGGAGCAGTACCCAAACAAACGAGCCACAGACCACACCGAATCTTTCCTTCCAGTTCTATGTCCTATCCTCAATCCTTACTTACATACACTTACACTTAAATGCACTACTCTACTACACAACCACACATGCAAGGAGATCATCCAAGAAAATAAAGCTTGCCCTGTGGGAGATATCTGGATGGGTAAAACCGCGTAAGTGGGTTCCAGATGTTACCATCCAATGCGAGAAGCCCCGCCACATCCATGATACAAACAGGCACAACACTTATGGGGCTAATGAACATAAAAGTTAACCTGCCCGGAAACAGGAAATATACAATTAAAGTCAGAATTTGTAGCTGTTATAGCGTCACTTGGCAGTCCTACAGCAGTTCGGCAGAGGCAGCCACAAGATCCGCATGTCTGTCTAGTCTGCAAAGAATTTGAACTATTGTGCCGAGGGTGCAGTATCACTACTGCTGGTCGAAGGTAGAACCACTTGGATGTGTTGCAAGACTCCTTGTGGTAAGCAGAGCCGTGGCGGAATGAAACCGGCAGATACAAAATTACCAAGTCGCGTACGCACGACGGTCTAAACCTTGAAGAACCAGCGCTGGGCGCAAAATTTCGCCCAACCTGCTGCGTAACGTGCTTGTATGGCTTGCACGGTAACATTATCACGTGAGTGACATTATAGACTCTCCCTCTTTCAAGGCAGGGCCTCAAATGTTACATGTATGTTGGAATAATTCGTCTGCGGCTGGCGTTCGGTAGAATATGCAAGAACTTGTGCACAGATTCTTATGAATAACGTGTAAATAAACTGTTTAAAGAGTTCGTGCCTCTGTCTCTTTTAACCATGACGTCACACCCTCGAGGAAGGAAAGAGATGTGAGGTGGAGGAAGAGGAGAGGGCCATATGTTCATGACAGAGACAAGGACGCGGCAGTGGCGGTCGTAGCGTTAATCTCGACGTCACTTCAAGAGAAAACTACTGTTGGTAAGTTTTGTAATAAGCAACAGAAGGAAGGAAACACTTTTCAACGGTTTGGCGTTTTCGATGACTGTCAATGAATGAATGAATGATAAGGGAGTGGAGAGCTTGCGTTCGTAGTGATGACGCATATACGCTATGCAAATGCTTTCCGCGATCAAGTGAAACACTTATTAAACATTTCAGAGTGTAAAAGGATTCACGTCCTACGTTACGTAATTTTTTAATGAGGAAGGGAATTGACTTGTAATTCTTAAGATAGAATTCTGAGATTTGTTCTAAAATCACTCTGTTACTCTCCTGAATTATTACCATAGATCAGTGGAAGTGATGATGTTAACTATTTTGACTTTATAACCTTGAAAATACTCCACCTCGTCCGACTAAGTGTGCCAGCTACGACATAAGCCCCGAGTATCTTACAAACACTTTTATCGCGTTTTGCGTGAAATCGTGTTGTTGCTTGAAGCTCGTTGAAATATGGTGAGATGCACTTCGTCGAACTGACATTATGCTACGCTAAGATGTGTCGTTTGAAGATCTGTCTTGACTTACGTCATGTGGCATCGCGAGTAAGGAGTGATATTAGCATTGAGTTGTAGTGTCAATGCACTGAGTTACGCTGCATAACGTTGTGTTGAGTTAGGCTGCATACCGTAGTATTGTGTTGGGTTGGGTTTAAATTACCCATCCTTGTTCGGGAAGTGTGACTGTTTTACCCTGAGGAAACTAAAACTCCTAAGAAAGGAAGTGAAGGTTTTGCATGAATAAGTTTGATGAAAACGGGGAAATAGTACATTTAACTCATTCTTAAAAAGGTAATCGAGTGTGCAGTTATGTAATAAAAGTACTCCTTCATACAACAAAATTAATACCCGTTTTTGGGGGTTTCTCACCAATTACGTGCAAGCAACATAGAGAACTAAATTAGTCAATATTTTTCTCACTGAATCGATTTTGTGATTTTGTGACTTTGCTCAGAATGCGGGTTGAGATTTATTGTATCCTGAGCGTTTGCTCCGGTAAGGCAGTACCAGGTGCAGTTAAAATTTGTGAAGGTGAAGTTAATCCGGTTAGCGAATGATTCGCGATACACTTGGACAGGTCGAACTGGGCGTGTGTATGGATCTTCGAGATACGGATAAACACGGATGAAAAAACCAGGCACGTGACACGTATTCGCACGTGTATGGAAAACAAAAATGGTGAGGTTCAATCTAGCGGGCCGCGGAAAGGCGCAGTAGGAGGCGAACCAAGGCAGGGCGATACGAGACAAGGTGACGGAGAGGTGAGAGCCGAGAGGCGAGTGATGAGAGACGAGAGGCGACGAGTGATGGGAGAAGCAAGACAGGAGACGAGAAGCGAAAGAGAAGAGGCAGGAGCTGAGAGTCGAGAGACGATAGGAGACGAGAGGGGAGGGATGAAGTACGAAAGGCGAGGGACGAGAGAGGGGAGGCGAGAGGCAAGAGGAGATATGGAAGAGGTCCGAGTCAGAGTCGACAGGTGAGTGACCAATGCTGAGGAACGAGAGGTGAGAGGCAAAGTACGTGACGCAAAGCGAGGCGAGGCGAGGCGAGGCGAGGCGGGGGCGGCGAGGCACCCTGTGCGCCCAGCTGGCCCGCGCGCGGCCTTTCGCAAGCGGCGTGGCCTCCGCGGCGGCAATCAGGCGACGCGTTATTCGACCAATTTAAATAATGGCCGCCTGCCCGCTGACCACGCGTTGCGGACGCAGCCGCTTCCGCGCCGGCGCGCGCCACCTGCAGCGCTGCCCGCCCACGCCCACGCTCTTGTCCACGCTCTCGTCCACGCTCTCGTCCACGCCCTCGCCCTCGCCCTCGCCCTCGCCCTCGCCCTCGCCCTCGCCCTCGCCCTCGCCCTCGCCCTCGCTTAATTCAAGACCTCGCCCAGACATACTTAGCACGAAGAGGATTTCAAATGGTAAACTGAAGGTCTTTTCAGTGATGTGTGTGTTGAGAGCGTGATGTTTGTAATATTGCTTATGCCTCAGCAGGAATTTTAGCAGAACACTCAAATTAGTAAATAAATCTCATTAAAATTAGAGAAAAATTTATTCTGAGAAGCGAAACATGTAAGAAATAATGTCTCGATTTCGTTCACACATGTGCGGTAGTAAAAACATGTAGTCATCGTATTTTAACGCGAAAATTATTACATCAATATTCCCGCCTAAGTGGATTCAATATTTATTCCGAACATTTGCCGTTGTAAATGTGCTCTCTGCAGACACAAGCAGTTTATCTCGAGAAAGTATCATTCATGTTGTGCACTTTTGTGAGAATTTCTATTATGCATGACACTGGCCTCAAGTAAACGCGATGTCATTAACGTCATTATTTGGAGATTTGATCAACCATTGACGTCTTCACTAAATGTAGTATATTTTTCAATGAAATATAATTGATAATTTCAATTAAATGTAATAAATATAATAATAAATAGCAAACAATTATATTAGATTATGTAAATGTGTGGTAATCAATAACACGAAATAATATGTTATTCATATTTCCTAAAATTAACTTCCGCGTATTCCTGGCTAAGGAATCGATTCACAGAACATGCAACTTCGCAGAATTCCGAAAATCTGCACCTACTCTGCGCCCGGCCAGTGTCCAGCGCGTTCCTCCCACGCCACCGCGTCGCGCGCCACCTGCGACCCCTTCCCCCTCCCTTCCCCTACGGTCGTCGGCGCGGCGCGGCGCGGCGCGCGACACCTCCCCCGCGGCGGGCGCGCCCTTTCAGCTGTCCGTCAGCGGCCGCCGCTGCTCTTTCGCCGCCCGCCGCCCGCGGGCAGGCAATTGCACCCGCGCCAAGAAAGGCCGCGCCCACAATGGGGAAACAACCCCTTTCTGCCCGCGCGCCCACGCGGCGGAACGCTGCGTGGGAGACTTCTCCGGGCGACAGACGCGTCGCGTGTGCACGCGGCGTCGATCTTACAGCAGGTTATCTTACGAAGGGAATGCAGAATCTAAATAAGGATTTCTAATACATTTCAGAAAATACAAATAATGTAGTTTTTTTAATTTCATTATTCAAACCTACAGTGTAAGAAATTGATTTGATAATTAACATTAATGAATAACCAATTTCTTTAGTCGAAAGAAAAATTTAAACATTTTGGAAATAACAAATTTCAATGTATTAGCAGCACTGATATATGAACAGATACAAAAAGGACAATTGTTTGTTGCATTGTTGGCAGATTGAATGTGATTGTATTATCAATATTCCCTGCCCTCCAACAATATTCGTATTGGATTATCATTATTCCCTATCCCTTATTGAGTGTAAAAATAGAAGTAGTCTCAAGCCTCGTTCTCAATGACGTTTACACGAATTGCAATTATAAATTTAAGAAGAGAAGAAAAGAAAAGCAATCGTCAACAAATTAATAATTTTCTATGAATACGTCCATTATAAAGTATTATTTTCCATTTCTGCTAGTATGTTTTTTCGATATTTGTTTTGACTATTTTTATTTGCATCATATAAATATCATGGAAGTAACTGTATTAATTGCATTAATGTTCACTTTACTATGTGGCACCAAACTTCAGCCGTGAAGAAGAATATTAGGTATTACCTAAACGTCTGAAACAACATGACCACTTCCCGATACCCTCTGAAATTATATATACCCTCTAAAACCCTTCGGTGGCAAGTCTCGCAAACCTCATCTCATCTCGTCTTGACTAGTCGCTTTAACTTGTCTAGCAACCTCGTTGTTTTGTTTCGTCGTCGTCGTCTCGTCTAGTCACCTCATCCGGTCGTCTCGTCGTCTTGTTTCTTCGTCTTGCCTCGTCATTTTATCGTCCTGTCGTTCTCCTCGTCTTCCCATATTGACTCATCTTGCCTCGTCGCTTCGCATAGTCGTCTCGTCTAGTCGTCTCGTCTAGTCGTCTCGTCTAGTCGTCTCGTCTAGTCGTCTCGTCTAGTGTCTCGTCTAGTCTCGTCTCGCTAGTCGGTCTCGCTAGTTCGTCTCGTCGTAGTCGTCCGTCAGTCGTCTCGTCTAGTCGTCTTCGTCTAGTCGTCTCGTCTAGTTCGTCTACGTCTAGTCGTCTCGTCTATCGTCTCGTCTAGTCGTCTCGTCTAGTCGTCTCGTCTAGTCGTCTCGTCTAGTCGTCTCGTCTAGTTCGTCTCGGTCTAGTCGTCTCGTCTAGTCGTCTCGTCTAGTCGTCTCGTCTAGTCGTCTCGTCTAGTCGTCTCGTCTAGTCGTCTCGTCTAGAATCGTCGTCGTCGTCTAGTCGTCTCGTCTAGTCGTCTCGTCTAGTCGTCTCGTCTAGTCGTCTCGTCTAGTCGTCTCGTCTAGTCGTCTCGTCTAGTCGTCTCGTCTAGTCGTCTCGTCTAGTCGTCTCGTCTAGTCCGTCTCGTCTAGTCGTCTCGTTCTAGTCCGTCTCGTCTATCGTCTCGTCTAGGTCGTCTCGTCTAGTCGTCTCGATCTAGTCTCTGTCTAGTCGTCTCGTCTAGTCGTCTCGTCTAGTCGTCTTCGTCTAGCGTCTCGTCTAGTCGTCTCGTCTAGTCGTCTCGTCTAGTCGTCTCGTCCGGTCATCTCGTTTCCGCACGTCTAGTCGTCACGCCCTCGACTAGTTGTCACGCCTCGACTAGTTGTCTCGTGCCTCAGACTAGTTGTCTTCGCCTCGACTAGTTGTCTCGCCTGACAGTGTCTCGCCTCGACTAGTTGTCTCGCCTCGTCTAGTCTCGCCTCGTCTACTCGTGCTAGTCTCGCCTCGTCTAGTCTCCGCCTCGTCTAGTCTCGCCTCGTCTATCTCGCCTCGTCTAGTCTCGCCTCGTCTAGTCTCGCCTCGTCAGTCTCGCCTCGTCTAGTCTCGCCTCTCTAGTCTCCGCTCGTCTAGTCTCGCCTCGGTCTCAGTCTCGCCTCGTCTAGTTCGCCTCGTCTCGTCTCGCCTTCGTCTAGTTCTCGCCTCGTCCTAGTCTCGCCTCGTCTAGTCTCGCCTCGTCTAGTCTCGCTCTCGCTCTTAGTCTCGCCTCGTCTAGTCTAGGCTCGCCCTCGTCTAGTCTCGCCTCGTCTAGTCGTTCGCCTCGTCTAGTCTCGCCTCGTCTAGTCTCGCCTCGTCTAGTCTCGCCTCGTCTAGTCTCGCCTCGTCTAGTCTCGTCCTGCGTCTAGTCTCGCCCTCGTCTAGTGTCTCGCCTCGTCTAGTCTCGCCTCGATACTAGTCTCGCCTCGTCTAGTCTCGCCTCATCTAGTCTCCGCCTCGTCTAGTCTCGCCTCGTCTAGTCTCCCTCGTTAGTCTCGCCCTCGTCTAGTCTCGCCTCGTCTAGTCTCGCCTCTTCTAGTCTCGCCCTCGTCTCGTCTAGTCGTCTTGCCATGTCTAGTTCGTCGCCACGGTCTAGTCATCTCGCCTCTTTGCTTTCGTCTCGCCTCGACATCACGTCTCGCATTTTCGCCTCGTTCTTCCCTTGTCTCGTCTCGCATCTCGTTCCCGCCTCACCTGGCACTTCCCTCCCGTCGCGTCTTTGCCTGGCGCCGTTCGCACCGCGCATTCGCGCGCGCCGCTGCGCCCGCCGCGCCCGCCGCCGAGAGCACCAGTGCGTAAGCCGGTTCACGGCGACCGCCCCCGCCCAGCGCGGCGCGGCGCCGGGCGCTGCTGAGACCCACCACTGCGCCATCTGTGGGCAGCGCGCCCGCGGGAAGACTTGTTGCGACGCGGCTTCCAGCGCCTCAGGCCATCCTCCCCGCCGCGACCGCACTCTCAGGCTCCCGAAACGGTTTGCTGCGGGGACGCTACGGGGGGAAATAGCTTTACCACATCCCCTAGTGATTAATTTGGCGGGTGCTGAGTTACCGTCGACGTATTTGTACCAGTACCTGACGGTATTTAGGGATGTAGCTTGTTCATAAATGTATATCTGATAAACAGTGCAATCTAAAAGTAGGTGTTCATTTCAACAAAGATTGTTTCTCTTGAAATACAATTGAGTTTACGTGTATGATCTACTGCAATGATATCACATTTTCTGTTTTAGTGTCCAACAAAAAACGCAACATTACAAATCTATGCGAATATCGGCATTGATATTCCAGCTAAATTTCCGACTGCCTCTTGAAACCTGTCAAAACGAGCACAATACTTTTTTCAGAATTATGAATTTATAAGCGTATAAAAATTTATTAAAGTTGTAATTTTTTTTCCTGAATTGTAGTTACAAAAAGAAAATCAATTTTTAAAAATTTTATTCTAGTCTTAACAGTTAAAATTATGAAAAACCCACATACTGAACTACCTGACCAAAAGAAAATATTTTTTATAGCAACATTTGGGGAACAAACAAAAAAAATAACTAATCCAATTACTTGAAAACATCTCATCACAACAAATCCACGCAATGACAGATCCGGGAGGGGGGGATAATTGTCCATGGCCTCCCTCAAAGAGACCAACAGGCTTTATGAGTAAACTTCTTTTATTTGGCCAAAATTGATTTAAATATTTAATCAAATTATTATTAGAATTCTTTATATATAAAAACACATTTATATCGTATAGTATCATCATAAACTACAAGAAATAAATATTTAAATACACAAATATTTATTATTTAATAAAAAATAATCATAAATCCCCCTCCCAAACAACAGTTCGGTTGATCCGCCCGCTGATTCCAGGAAAAGACCCCGTCTCCTTAGAGATCCGCGAGCGCGAGGATGAACGCAACGCCCAGCGTTACGCCACAGCCGCCCGCAGGGCGCGCTCCGCCGCTGCGCGCCCGCAAGGGCAATCTAAAACGTTGCCGCAAGCGCACCCGGGCCGCCCCTCTCGACCCTCCCCCGCCCCGCCCCGCCCCGCGCCCAAATGTCAATGCCGTCCATTCTCCGGACGCCAACGACCCCTGTTATTACGCGCACGCGGCGCAGACGGGGGCGAGACACGAAGGCAAGCGGCAAGGAGCTACCTCCCGCCCCGCACCCACCCCCGGCCCCGCCCCCGCCTCCGCCGCCTTCGCGAGATAAATTAAGCCCGTATTTGAAAACCACCATCATTGCCCGTCGGAACAATGCTTTATCTGAGCAGCGGAGGCGGGGGCGGGGGCGGCCGGCCACGAGAAATTCCTTCTCCGCCCCCGCTGCCCGTGCTGGACCGCCGCCGTGGCCCCAGGTGCAGCCGTGGGCAAAACTGCGGCCGGGAGCCGCACGCGGCCCGTCCCGGCTCCGGTGCATCCGAGATAAAATTGTAGCTCGAAAATGTAGATTACCGCGACGCTTCACACTGCTTTACAGCAGAAAACAAACTGTTTGTTTCCATATGCATGTGCAAAGTGCTTTTTTACAGAACAGACTCGCATGAATATTAAAATAAAAGTACTTTCGGTGTACAAGATGCTCTTAGCGCGATTTAGAATGTCGGGAAATTTGACAACTTTTTCCCGAAAGACGACTGAGTTTGAAGGGTTATTATTGGACATTCGGCCCAAGTGAAACATACATCAAATTTCTTTCCCTCAATATTTAGTGATCACAGAACAAATATTACATGTGGATAACGAACAGCATACTTGCTTTTTGAATAAATATTCGAGTGATCTTTATGAGCGCTATGCTTCCATTCTAGGGGTTCAAGAATTTCGCGGCCAGATTTTGTTAAACATCCAATCTCCTTGGGACACGTTGGAAATATTTGTAATTGTTTTTTCAGAACGAAATAAATGCTTATTAATACTTTTTTTCTAAAACTGTATGAGTAATATGCTTGAAAACAAATAAGTTACACTGACTTCATGGCTCTATTAACTTTAAGTGCATCACCGCAAAAAAGTGCCTTCTTTAATTTCTATTGCATTCCTTCAAGGGAAAAAGGCGCATTAAAAATTGACGAGAGTAATGGTACACATCATTGCAGTCATATTATTTAAACTTTGCAACTAGCGCACTCTACATTTTCATATTCTTCATTAGCAACTTACTTATACTTAACCACGTCTCATTAAGCTTCATCAACTATTTGTACGTTCTCGGAACAAGTGAGAATAAAACGTAATCGAAACCATCTTCAAGATGTTTCACAAATTTACGATGCCATTGCAGAAATTTATGAAGCGAGAAAAGGAAAATCTTTCGCTGGAGAAATTGTTTTCATTGGTATGTCAAAGCTTCGTTCAGATACGTACGATTACCATTAGGATTACAGGGAGAAAAAATGTAAAGCTCTGACCTCAAAAGTATGGATCTTGAAAAGCATCACCACAGCAAGCTGTATTTTTCTCATGAGCGTTTACCACAACTGGACTCAACACAATCCACAAAATATTTATTACTCTTATTAACACATTCAACTACTGCCAGAAACACAAAACAACATCCATACTTGCAAAAAAATTCCAAAAAAAATAAATTTAAAATTTCACACCTATCACAGTACATACACAAATAGAACGTTTACACGGAACCCCAATTCAGAGCGATGGATTTTTGAAAGATCGTTACTTTTGAAAACAATAAACACCAAGAAATTCATCAATGACGTATACAATCTTCATGGTCTTAGAACATAAGTGGTTGGTTGAAGGCGAGGATCTGGGAGGTTACACATTAAAAATGAAGCTGAATGGAAATTATGCTGATGTCATGACAGATTCAAAAGTCATCTCAATAAGAACCCGTGAAAATGAAAGACAGAACTGCTGAAAATTAGAGACGATTGGTGAAGGAATTCGAACACATTGAGAATATGTGCTAGTTTTACCAGAATCATTTTGCCCGTCCCGATTAACAAGGGCGTATAATCCCACAGCCTCGAGATAAAACTGTCACGAATGAAATCTGTTTGCTCCTGATTTTCGGATACGGATCCGTTGCTTAGTTGTGACTCCTAATTGACTTTATCCTAAACCTCGTGTAGATTTACTTCCATGTAAAAGATCCTGAAGCCTAAATGACGCCTCTGATTTAAATTCAAAAATCGCCTGTTTCTCTCCCAAGAAATACCTCCTTCCTCTGCTAGTTGGTGAAAGGAGCGTGGCAAAATTTGCATGATCAGACGGAAGAGCGGGCCTGATGGCCCGAGTCTCGCCACGAAAAATAAGGCATTAATTCAATTCAATTCAACCCGCACCGGGTACACTTTTTCACTTGGGAAGATGGAAATGGTTCACTTGCGTCTCCGGTTTATTCCAACTCGCTTTAGTGTCTCTCTAATCGAGATTAAATAATCACATTCAACATTGTACTCACAATATAATTGCGGGTATGTGCAAGAGTCTCACCACGAATTATATGTATAAACGTGGTTAATTTAATCTGGTTTGCATGCAAAAATAGAGAGGTTGGTACTTTTTGCGATGCATTGTGGAACGGTAACTTTTCGTAGAAAGTTTTTGTAACTGCAGAACTGTACCCTACCGTATGCAAGTAAACTCGAGATGATATTATTGTACCCTCTTTGATACTACCAGCAATTGACTAACGGAATCGTAATACCATAATGTAGTAAAAAAATTAATGAATTTAAAATAAGTTCTACAATATAAAAAATATGAAAAACTTACAGCTCTTACAAATATAAAAAATATATGAATATTTAAAAAACTGTCACATTTTATGTTTTAACAAGTAAAACTAAAGAAATGTTATTTATGTAAAATAGATTCGTAATATCAATGTTATATAAGCTATCATTGTAAATTTTGTTGGTAAAACAACTATATTTTTAATAAAAAAACGAAATTGAAGCTACTTCTCAACATTTTCAAAAACTTAGTAGTGCGTCTAGATAATCTTCAACGCAATATCTCTAAAACATATAACATGATAAAAAAGATAAAAGTCAAATCGAGAAGAGGAAGCTGATAACAGCGATAACTCTCCTTAAACGGCCGTTCTCGAGCGTTTTAGCTGCACATAGGTTTAACCTGCAGTAATCGCGCTTAAAATACGAGACCATGATAAACATCGCAAAAACCCTATTGCCATGAATTTAGAAGATATTATAGGTACAGAACGACATATGTACAGGTAACAGCGATTGTATTGCAAATATAATGTTTCTCCAGATTTTTTAAACCTGAACAGAGAGGTATTTTCATGTGTTTGGTGAAATTGACAACAAGGATGTAAGACAAGCTCGGACAGATAAATCTGGAACGCCTTCAGCCGGTTTAAAGACGTCTCCACACATTCGGTAATCGCCGAGTAATGAGCGACTGCTCGCCCATTTCCAAGCAGATGATGTGCTCGGCAAATGATCCTTTACTGCGTGCGAAAGTTCTATAGGAGGGGGGTTGGGCGAGCAGCGAATATTAGTAGCTCGACATGTACTCGTAGCAAGCAACGCAACACGTGATTCGGCGGGCAGTCGCTCGCTACTCGCCGATTACTGAATGTGTGGAGCCTCCTTAGCAGGAAACGCACAAGCCCGGACGGATAAAACAGGCAAGGACCCTGAACGGGTAAACCAGCGGCCGGCGCCCACGTGGGTGCTAGCCCGGACGGGCGCCGCGGGTGCACCCCTGGCCGGCGGCGGGGCTGCGGAGGCGGGGCCGGCGGGGGGCGGGGGCGGCGGGGGCGGAGCGGAGGCGGGGCGCTGCGGCGTGGTCCGCCGGCAGTAAGTCATGCGGCGGGGCTGAGGCCGCAGCGGGGTGTGGTGAGGTGGTAGCCCTGATTTACGACCGCGTGACCGGGCGGCGAGGCCCGCGGGCCCGCCCTGGGCCGCCACCGCCTCCGCCGCCACCGCGCCGGCGCGCTCGCCCCCGGCTCCTGACCGCCCCCACCGCCCTCAGACTCCGCCGCTGGCACCGCCGCTGGCCGGAGAGTCGTCTTCGTTCATTTGCCGCTCCTGTCTGGGCTCCTTTATGGCCTGCCTTCGGGCCAAAAGGTATCATTTTGACACATGTTTAACCGAGCAATGCTGATAGATAAAACCTACTGCATTGTTCCTTTGCAGTCTCCCTCTGTCAATAAGCGCTTTAACATCGGGAACATTTATCTACGTAAAGATATACAAAACATTTGTGCCTTCCGTGATTACTACTGTGAGTGTCGCGAATTATGCAGGATATGATTATTCTCACTTGACTGTTGACACTTGAAAAATTGAGCTCACAAAAACAGAATAGCAGCCGACAACAATTTTGTTTCTACTGCAGAGTTTATCCATTACCGCTTTGAAATTTAAATTTTGTTTTTATTCACCTATTTAATTATTTATTACAACATCCATTAAACACATTAATACTACTTATACATTAGATTTCAAAAGTCATTTTCTCAAATATTTATATATAATATTTGATAAAATGACTTGTATATATATATATATATATATATATATATAGATAGATAGATAGATAGATATAGATAGATAGATATAGATATATAGATATAGATATATAGATATATTTGCACTGCTCTAGACAGTACATAACATTGAGCTCGTCATACGAGTAAATGTGGTGGTGAGTTAAGACCACGAATGTTCTGCTTTTGCTCCTGATTGTCAGTTAACCATAGGCACTATTTTTTGGTTACTAGCCACTACTATTAAGAACAAATACTACTCTCAGTTTATCCCATTCAGACATCAGAATTCCCTATCTAACTCTACGGAGAACAGAGATACACGTCTTAAATGAAAGGTTAACATTATAAATATATGGTCGAGAGCATAATAACGTTTTCAACGAAAAGATCATATAACCTAATATGATATACCAGATTTCTAGACATTTTCACTCGTCAATTGAGTTACATGAGGATTTCACTACATACTTTATCGGTTTCACAATTGAACGTAATCTCAACGTATTCTTATTTCATTCATGTAATATTTTTAAATTAACATAGCAAATTAATCGCCCCATGTCATGGCAATGGTTTCAGCTCCCAAAAATAGATTTTTAGTAGGCTAATATTCATAATACAAGAACATTTGCTTATAAATTTCCAAATTGCACTGTCGGCTCGTGCTTAGGTAGGATTTTTGCACAACTCCCATAAAATCGAGTATATATATATATATATATATATATATATATATATATATATATATATATATATAATGTATAACAAGTATATATCGAGTATATATAATGTATGTGTGTGTTCGTCTGTGTGTGTGTACGCATGTATGTATGAAGATCAAGAATATACATTTTTCCTTGCAATGAAATTCGAGGTTTTAGGTCTTACAGCAATATCAATATACACAAAATCATTGGTGGCTGGCTGCATTGCAATTACTCCAAAGTATGAAACATGCAAGTAATATGACGACCACAGTGGAATAATGTTTTCTACAACCTAGGAATCATATCAACCGACATTAGTTTCATACGATATACTGTATTGACATCTTACTCTAAAAGAAAGTATGTGATGTTACGAGTGAACTTATTCTAAAGAAACTTAGCGTAAACGTAATATGAAACGTACGTATTTTACTCATTAATTCGTGAGGGGTCATTTTTTTTCAAATGCATAATATTTTAGTAATATTCTCTGTGTATATTATAATTAACATAAGCTTTACGTACGAAGAGCACCCGAACAATTTAATCGTAATTCTTAACTTAATCTAATTTACTTGTCTTAATTTAATTATTTAATTTCCGACCTGCTGTTCATTTCTCATTTGTGCTCCACAGTTCTTAGGAACCAATTTCATCTTTATTAGTATTCGGATATATTTATATTTCCTGGCTCCCAAACTCCATCTTTCACATATACTAGGAGCGGAGAATGATGTATTTAATGATAAAGATACGTGAATAGTATATGCTAACGCAAAGTTGGAATGGTATGCCACAAAAAAGGAGAAAGTCAATCAAATGTAACGCTTTTTGTCCCCCACAAATTTCACCAAAATTGCGACTGGCTAGACAAGGGCTCAGCCAGCCAAGCCCACTGGCTGCTACGAAATACCACAAGTCGCTCTCGCCTCCTTTTCCCTCCCCAACCAACGAGACTGAGTTTTCAAGTCCACACCCTTTCGCTCCTCTTAGAGCGCCGCCGCCGCCGCCTCATCTCCTGTAGCCTTCAGCTGCCTCAGACGGACACCGGCGGCCAACGTTGCCTCCCCTTCGTGCAAATCCATAGGCACGGCTCGGATCTCCTCCCCTCGCGTGATATATCGAGGCCCGCTTCACCCTTCCGTCCAATCCGGCGGAGGGCGTGGACGGCTGTCTCCGCGGCTCCCCGTCTTGCGGCAAACCCAACATTTGGAGGCATCGCATCGCGAGGTGGGAGGAAACAGTAGTTGGGCCACGCCCACTCTATTAGCGCAGCGGCCGCGGAGGCGAGTTAACGCTGCCAGCGGGCGTTTCCGGCGCCGGCTGTGACACCCAGCGGCGCCCCCCGGCGTCCCGGGAAATTACACCCCCGGCTGCTGACGGCGGTGGCGGTGGCGGTTGCGGTCGCGGTGGCGGTCGCGGTCGCGGTGGCGGTGGCGGTGGCGGTGGCGGTGGCGGTGGCGGTGGCGGCGGGGGTGGGGGACAGGACTAGGGTAGTGGTGGCGCGGTGGAAGAAGAGTGTGGGTTGGGTATCAGGGGTGGGGCGCAGGGCGGGAGCGGGAGTATGGAGATGTTGGCGGGGGCAGGAGCGGAGAGAGGTAGGTGTGCCGGCTGCGCACAGTGGAGGAGTGCGGTGGCGGTGACGACTGGCTCGCGACGGAGGCGTTGAAAGTGGCGGGACAGCGGCGGTTTGCGGTGAAAGTGGCGGGGACGTGGCGGGGCGAGGATGGTGTTCCCGGCCGAGTGGAAGGGCGGTGCGGGAGCGAACGGGGCGGCTGCCTAGGCGGAATCGGCGCCGGGGACGGGGTGGCGGTGGCGATTGAAGAAACATTGGGAATGTATCCTCGGCACTCGCTGTGTTGGCTTCTGTGATCGAATGAGATTACTAAAATGTGTGAAGTTTATTAACTTGAAGTTTATTAGCTTGAATGAAAACATAATGCAACTTAAAACTTAAATTATACTAAACTTTTTTTGACAATTTATTATTTTATTAGAAAATGAAATTATTAACACAGTTCCATTAAAAATAAAAGAAGTTATTTTCTAAGTCTGTTCTTGGTTTGGTGTCAATTATTCACCAAAATTAAGATAGGCATTCTACGCAGATTGCACTTGTGAATGGTCACGAATCGACTTTGCTAGTCAGTGGGGAATGAGCATACAAAATGGCACTCCCCAAGAAATCAATGCATCTCAAAGATTATACTTACATGTCATGGAACAAGAGTTACCTTCTTCATCTCAATTCTTTTTGTGCATCCTACTTTTCAACACCATGCAGTGTAACGCTAATATTTCCAAAAATCGTTTTTACACATTGTTTAAATATTTGAAACTAGAGTAAGTTATTTTCAATTGACATTTTATATTTATCATTGATCAGAGTTACATTGATTGTGGGAATTTCAGAAATCATTGACATATGTGATATATTTGCAATTCCCCTACATCTTTTTTAAATGTAAAAGGTAAATTACTTTTTTATTAGAAGTGTCATTCTTAAGTGAATAGTAGAGATGACGTTTTAAACCTTGAAACTCCAACTGCAACTACTGACTTCCTGTCATCACGTGGTTTCTTCTTGGAACGAAAGAGACGTGAGGACTACAGAGCAAAGAAGAGGGGGAGGCATCACGCACCGACAGCCACTCCTCGCGCCGCACACTGCTCCGAAATGAACTTATGAACGTCCAATAAATGAACGTTTGGATGATCTATAAATGAACGTGTGGATGTCCTATAAATGAACATGTGGATGTCCTATAAATGAACGTTTGGATGACCTATAAATGAACGTGTGGATGTCGTGCATGGTCTATGTAAACAAGTGCAAATGGGGGAGATAATTGGCGAGGGAATGGGAGAAAAAATAAACAATTCAATTTTAAACTCAACGATTTTACAATAACTAAGGAATTTTCAAAATTTTGGAAACGACTATTGTGAAAAGATAAATTTAAGGCATGCCAAATGTAAGTTAATAATACTAAGATTAGATCTAGCTATGTTGTAAATATTTACCTCACTTTCTGCCGCAAAAGCAAGTAGGGCTGCTTCGCAACGAAGGTTTGTACTGCCCCTAAAACAAAAAACAAAAAAAATACACCTCACTAGACTTAATGGTGATGGGAAATTGAAAACAAGACTGCTTCGAAATATGAGAAAATGTGAACAAAGCAAAGAATATTGACGTCAAAATGAACATGCATATGAGCTTAAATCTGCCAGTGACGCAGAATTCGCTCCTTCCTGCTATTCCGAGTTACGTACATATTTGAAAGTTTTCATTCATTTTCTAAAATCCCTCCAATTCAGAAAAACATTCCCGATTCGCTAACAGGAATTTGCGATATCTTCCACATTGAAAATTTGCAAACCCTAACCAACCGAATATTCTTAAAATATTCATTCATTCTATTAATTTAAAGGATACACCCTATATTAATACTACTTAACTTACGTTTACCTAAATTCTTACATAAAGGAATCAATTGTTTTGAAATACTTCAATTCTTTCAGCATCATTCCTTTACAGGATTTTATATTAAGAAGAATAGAATTTACTATTTATATCATTATACTTGCATATGAGCAGTCCGAAGATAATAAATTTCATGGTTTCGGGAAACTTCGAGAACTAACGCTTTATGTTAAGGATTCACAACTAAAACAAACAAAAACATCAGAATTCTTCACATTTTATTTTATTTTTTCATATTATAAATCTTCCCGAATACTCTCAGGTCAAATTTAGACAACGTCTAGAAGAAAATTCTAGCAACCTTATTGGTAGCCTGATAACTAGTAGATTATTCGGTAGTTTTTCTTGGTTTCTCCGATCAACACTAGGCGAATGGTGAAGCAGTATCCTAACAAAGAGGCCAAGGACCGCGCGCGATCTCTCCTTCCTCTTCCCTGCCCTCTCCTCACCCATTACTTACACTTACAGATCCTACACTACCACACACATTTGGAGACCAATCGGTAGCTCATACTTGGATTTAAACATAGGTTCAGTTGACGTAAGCCTGCTGTTACGGTTTCCTTCAATCCGGAGGTTGAACGTTATCACAGTGACGTCACTGTAGTGACGTGTAAGTTCCCGGTAAGACGAAACAGATAACAGCTGATGATCTATCAAATGAAGCTCAAAATACGTCGAAGTATAGAGCTTGTCCGAGCTAGGGCTGTGCCCTGCTGGTGGGAGACGTTTGTTTGGAAAAAACCCGCTAGGTCGGCGCCGTTTCTCGCCATTCAGCGTGGGAAGATCACCACCCTCTCTCGCGATAAAAACACATTCACTACACTCGCGGGACTAATGACCTCGGCAGCTAACGCGGCCGGAAGCACAAATCAATCAATCAATCAATCAACCAAGTTCTCTCTTGGCAAGTGGAGCGGTCCGTGGCCCACTGTGCGCCTGGATGCTGCTGGCAGAGTGTCCGCGGGCGCCGCAACCGCCGACTGACAGGGCCAAGGCCGCGCCCATTGTGTGACGCCGTCGGCGGCGCTCGCGACCCAATACGAGGCAAAGACGTGGGAATATCAATTACGCAACACGCGGGCGTTTTTACTCGGCCGGCCTCCACTGTACCATTGGCTCTGTCTTCGACTCGGACGTGTGTTCGAAGAGTTGGTTTACGTAGGAAGACACCGAAGTGGTGCAAGGGTTAAAACAAAAAGAAGAAGCTTCAATTAGCTGATCTGCGGGCAAATGAGAATATTGTGTAAAAACTTATAGAGTACTGGTAATATTCAATTACAATAGACAACCGCGATATGACATGATGTTTCAGACACTTATTCGAATAACCTCGAACCACTTCGTTTTCGATTTGAAATAATTATTTTGTACATAAATGTGTGTGTTTTTTTTAGATATGATGTATTATTTTTCACATACAGTTCACATAAAAAGTATCTAATGATAATATTTTCTAATGAATCTTCATAGACAACTATAAAGGAATTTCACTCTGTCAGTTCGCTTTTGGTCAGTTTTCGCCACCAAAACAGTTGTCTCCTGGCGCAGCGTTGGAACCAATTGAAAAAAGACGTATATTCCGCACATTTCAAAAACAATGTGCTCAACGTGTATCTTTAACTAATTCACTTTCTTTGTGATAAATTCATTGTAACTTCAAGTATAACAGCAACTTTAGCAACGCAAAGCATAAAATAGTATGATTTTTTTAGCGGAAAATTCTAAAAAGCGGCAAAAGATTTTAACATGGTCAAACTGAACATGCATTAGAGAGTAAAATGAAGAAGGTGTCGTTTTTATTCAGATCATATCTATTCTGATATTCATAATTTTATTTTTATTGGACTTCATGGAATTCAGACGAAAATTATTAGATTTAGTCCAAACATTCGAAATTGAAATTTCGTGAGTAATATCCGCTTTGAGGATTACTGACAATATGTGTGTATGTACGATCTCGCATAGGTCGGTGATATTAAACTCTCTCGAGCTCTAAACTTAGTAAACACATGAACAGTAAGGCCGTTACACACGCGATTATGAATGATGCAGGGGGCGTGAAACTTCCCGCAGTTTTGTACCAAAACACAAAATCCGAAAAGGTAATTAAATGTAAAGTACAAAGATCGTAAAAATAGCTCTTATCTTAAATTTAGGGAGCTCACAACAATAGGTAGGTTGACCCTCATTCCCAGTCTCCATCGCATTCACTGGTCTTTTAAGATTTACGTGGGAACCATTGGTGGGGGAATTAAATTTTAAATGCAAAAGCTGTAAAATTATTCAGTTTACCCTAAGCCGCATTAATGGGAATAGAGGTACGAACCGTTAAGCTGGTTTTCCATAGCCCAGTTCCCACCATCCATCCGCTATATAATTTATGATTCAAGTGCCATAGCTCGGGTAATGTAATCAATATTATTCTGGTAATATTAGTCGGGTAATATTATTAAGATGTCATCACGAGAACATATCAATTCAAAAAGCATTAAAATCGAGTTTTGTTAATACTATAATGTTATATCGATATAACACAACCACGTAGATGCATGGCAAGACACTCTTAACGACCGTCGTCCGTTAGGACTTTAACGTCCCTGAGGCACTATCCAGACTAATGACTTGTGTCTAAATATGGTGAATTAGTGCTAGTATTGAAAGAAAATGAATTTATTATTTCTATTAGATTCTATATTTTCTTGTAATATGGTTCAACAAAGAGTTGAACAAATGATTTCTCAAATTCTGGATTTGGTTGTTTACAAATCTAGCCTATCGTCTCGGTTTTCGAACTTCTAATGCTTCCGTTATTTGCTCTACGTCAGCTTAATGTCAGTGACAATTTAAACAATTAGTTTTCAGTATAAAGTCTGTGAATTCATGGCGTTTAGATAATTTATTTTAGTGAAACCCGGACCAAAGTAATAACGGATTAAAATTTATCTACCTTGATCGTCCAGCAGGGTTAGAATTTTATAGATAATTTTCACAAATCTAAATCGGCGGTAGATGCCACGTGACGTTCACGTCACAATCCATCAGCACTATTCAGTTTATTCCTCTGAAGCGCAGGCAGTTATATTCACCCTACTGACACAGAACATTCGGGTAGGGAGAGTGTGACGTCACAACGGTCAAAGAGTAACAGATACGTCGTCATCGCCTTCCCATCGCTCGCTTTTTCTTCAGAGAAATTTAATTCATTTTCAACAACAGAAGTAACAATTTAATGACCAGACTTGCGTCTTACAAGTTCACAAGTTCTTTAAACACTCAGAAGTATCACTGCTAATCTCTTTAGCAAATCATGTAAACATTTTCATTTATCCCATAATCTGTGCAACCGAGAGGCCCTCACGGTGCATTCCTGTCTTCACGACTTCACGGACCATTCTTCTTGTTTATCCGAGGTCTTCCAACATGCTCTCCCGTCGCTAGGTGGAGACAAATGGCAATAGCAACCCGTGACATTACAAGAGTACTGGAAAAGAATGGGGCATTGAAAGTGCTACTTCGTTGTTTGGATAGTCCCCACCATCACACAACACAAAAGCAAACATCCTTGCCTAGCCGAAATTCGACCCCCAGATCCCGCAGCTCGTGGCTGTCGCTATAACTACTACGCCACGAGCCCCGACAGGAGATGGCAATTCTATTCTACTTCTAAATTGTTACTTAGTCTCCAAATGATTACAATATTTTCATTGTGCATTTTAAAAAAACAAGACAAAAAATTTCCATATGACTCCATCCCCTCATTAATAAAGGCAAAGCTGCAAATGGGAAATGGACAGGACCAAGCGAACTCAAAAAAACTCAAGTGTAATTCTTCACACATTTTAAGGAGTATGACGAAATGATCAAGATTTGCAGCGGCCTTGTTAAGTTTCCCGACGAAAAATAAGTCAGCGTAAAAAGTGCAGGATTACGTTTCAAAGAATAGGTACCCATCACAACACTGCTCTACAATGACGTACAAAAACAGTACATCCCCTTGAGAAATTTGTTGCGTTTAATGACATTGATAATACGTTCAAGTATGCTACTGATAATGTAACTTCCTGTAAATTATTATCACTTCTTCCTTTCCCTAATGACGCATACGTTTCGGAAGACGAAGAACAGACCTTCCGTTATGTCTTGTAAACCGCATTTTCCTCCCAAACCGCAGAAAGAGGATACCACACATCCTCATGGGATAATCTCAAATTATTAAGTACGTTTTTCAGTCATCAAACATTGTAAATACAAATAATGTAATCATTGAATTGACATAGAATCGATGGTAGTAAAATTGGCGAGTAATTTACGAACGAATTTATTATACCCAAGAAGTTATTATACCCAAGAAGCCATATAACATCATCAAATCCTTCTTATATAACACCATAGATACATTAAAAGTCCCTAAACATTAGTTTGAATTCAAATTATTCAAAATCATACCAATCAACCAATGTTTTATATTTCGAATTCCCAACAAGGCGCAAACGAATAATAAATTGAAGAAAAATGATTTTATGCAGAAATGAATATTATTGAAAATTCATACATTTAAAGTTAATCTAGCGAATGACTTTTCAACTGAACATACTAGATTTACCATAGAAAAAAATAGGGGCTTGGAATATACGGTAACCCCCGGTTACACTGAAAATACCCTGAAATAGTAGCATTTCAATTGCAAATCCAAGGTGACCAGTTTGTGAAATAACGGAAAAAGTTACGGAAAAATCAAGAAATGTTGAGAAAAACTCGCTTCAGTCCGTAAAATTTTTCAAAATTTTTAAAATACGAAAAAATATCCC